ACGACACGTACCAGCATCATGGAAGGCCAGACGGATAGATGCACGGGCTGAATCACCGCAACGGCCTTCGATGTCACAGTCAGTATTAAACATACAAACGCCTGAAAATTGCGCGTACCGTGATATATTCCCCCCATTATTGCGTCGCGGATCGCGTACCAGGGCTTGCAGAGGGGATTCTTTGCGTTATTGACGGTGGGGATCCCGCTTGCGCTGCCCCCATCGTCTCCGCCGCCCTTGCCGCTGCCGCTGTTCCCGCCGCCATCCTTGCGCTTCATCGCGTGCGGACCATAATTGTCATAAGGGCTCCCGCGAGCAGGCGCCACCACCCCGAGCAGCATTATCAAAAGGAGAGAGAGCATGGACGCGGAGATGGATCGCATGCTGGCCAAATGGAAGAGATGGAATAGATGAACCGAAAGAGCAGACCAGAAGAAGGTGAAGAAGAGAGGGTGTACTGAACCCTTTGATTCTGGACCCATTTTATAGCGAGAGGATATTTTTGAAGCGGAGGGTGATGCTTATGTTTGACACGAACACGCCGTCGCATCCGAAGTCTTTGACAGCAGGAAAGATGTCGCCGGTGTCATGATGTAGTTTCAGGCAGACCCATAATGCGGTATTGTGGGTGTGTACCTGGAAAACAAGCTCAAGATCAGAATCATTCCAGAGGCGAGGCTGTATTGTGTACGCGCCTCATTAGGACAAAAACGGATGATCGACATTTAATCTGCGGAATAACAGCTTGTAGGATGAAAATAGTATTATGTACTAATAGATGATCCAGTGTAGGCGCTGTCAGGCGAGGCCGTGTCCCTTCTCAGCCGGCGAAGTGCCGGCGTATCGTTTCACCTGCACGACAAGCATCTACGGCCAAGCGGCCATAATAATGTAGCCAGGGGGCCAGTCGGCTACAATATCACATCGAATTCAGACTTTACTGTGCCCACCGCGGGCATCGGCAGAGCAAAACTGCAGGAGGAAGAGGGATCAACATCATCGATCAATGCCAGCAAGTGCCCAGAGCTGCCCAGAGATGATAGAGCCGAAAAAACCTTCATGGAGAAACGACAAATCAAGACTTGAGCGATTCGTGCCCATGCTGCCCTGTCCTTCGGACTCGGATCTGATTGACGGTAACAGACACAGTCTAGCCGCCGGTCTGCGCATGTTTTTGCTCCCTCGTTTCGGGCGTGATGCAGCCAGCGATCCATTGCGCGGGTTCGTCCGTCAACTTGAAGCATTCAAGCTGCCAGTGCCGCCCAATCAAGTCTTCTCCGGGAGGAAAGGCGAACAAATTGAATCAAAAAACGTCAGAGTCTATTCATTGAACCAAGGGTAACCCTCGAGAACTAGCAAAGAGGGTGTAACGCACCAGTGGATAGCAAAGGGTTCATCCAGGATAGTGGCAAGACCGCCCGCCCGTAAAACTGGACGTCATCCTTGGCATGGTAATGACAGCGGTCTGGCTTGCCCGGTGGTCTTGGCAATGAACAAGGCAGAGTGTTCTGAGCCTTCACATAGCCTAAGGCATCTGATATTCGTCTCGATGAATCATGTTGATTCCAGTGCCCGGAGCCTTTGTCTGCAACTAGTAAAATGAAGAGGTGAGATGAAAGTTCAAATCAGAGTGGAGAAAAACCGATTGTATAGGATCATTTAGCATTCGGTAACTAGTTAAGCTGTAGCCCAATTGAATCCCAGTGGGGAGAACAAGGGCGAAGTGGCATATAGGGAGGCCACGATGCAGGTTGTGGTATGAAGGCCAAATTTCCAACGTTATGCGGAGGGATAGATGCAGTAAATGTGGCGCTTGCACATGGATGTCAATCAACCTGAGCCTGGTTCAATACGGCAAGTTCCTGACGATGTAGGCGAGGGACCCGCGAGCACGAGTGATTTGAGGGTTCGTGCCATAGCCGCCAAACCAAATATACGGAAAACACGGACAATTTATTTAATGCACTTCGCCGATCAGTCAATCCGATACCGCGCGCCAAGAATCGGTGTCACAGCGCCAGCAGAAGTACCAGGAGTTTATCGTAGTGAGAGGATATCGATGTCTCAATTGTCCCGTTTTAACCCCAGTTCGGAAGCCGTAGGAGTTGGACGAAAGTGCTATCTCTGAAGGATGGGCACGCCATGTTTGGACATCAGTAAATTGACGGATCGGCTTTTTTCCATCTTTTGAAAGGACGAAATGGTGGGAAAACCGAAAGGTCTTTCGCCTTTCAGAGACTACAGGAGGTTCCTTGAAAAGCACAAAAAGTATGAAAAGCTTGTGAGAAGCTCTCAGAAAAGATGTGTTAGGATGATGAAAAGGTGACTTAAAGGACACATATCATCACGGAAAACGGATTCATTTGGCTAATTTATACAGTGTTGTACTGTGAAAGAAGTGCTGTCTACGAAGGAGGGAGGAGTATAAGAAAAGGATTAGAGAAGTATAACCAATATTTGGAAATAAAATAAGTATGTTACATACCATGTACCAAGCAATGCTGCTGGTAACAATAACTTCGGTCTTGACTATCAACTTAAAGAACCGATTGCAACAAATGCAGAAGTCTTGATAGTGATTTGCTTGATCCCTTCAGCCTGATTATTCTTAACAACAAACATGACTCGGCGCCAAGAGCTTGCTCGCCCGAGCGAAAAATACATAGGCGCGTGGATACTTGATCTACAGACATTGATGGATTATGCGAGTTACGGACAAGTTGATGGGGTGAAATGGCCCGCCGCGAACAAGACAACGAGGGAGCAAAAAGCTCGTAATGGGCAGCGAGGGCGGATTCGAGGATATTTTACCAGCGGGAGTTAGGGAAAGTCGTACTCGAGTGTGTGAGGCAAAGGAAGAGCCTAACTTAAATTCCTAGCCCATATACAGAAGAGCAGCCTGTATAAGTCCAACCTTAAATATTGCAGGATCTCTGAAATTTCGAGTGCGCAGAGTCAAGTATCTGGGGCAATCGTGAATGTTTGATAGAGTTTAAATGTCTATGGGGATGAGTCCGCTGCTTGAGTTAGGTATGTAGGAATCTCGGACCTCACTGGACAGTGGAGAGGTATGGAACTTGAATCTTATGGAGCCAAAGGAGTGGTGAGAAAGTAAGAACGATTTTCCGTTCTGAGAACGACGTTGGCTAGCGAAATATGGCGATCTTGGAGCTTAAGGTTGAAAGAGTGTGAATGAAGGAGCAAGAGTGATTCATCGGTGGCGGTGTTTTGACTTGTCGCGGTCACCTGATCATCCACACTGATCATCCCGCCAACCGCCCCAAGCCATGCAAACCTGCAACGTGTTTTTTTGGGGGATTTCTTGCAAATTACAGGGTCTTGACGTCTTTAGATACTCAAGGCCATCATTGCCCGGGATGTGTGAGTTGTCACCTGGAAAAGACCGTGACGCGGTATCGTTCTAAAAAGGTCTACATCATTTCGGTATACTAAATACGTGGAAAACAGCTCTGACGTGTTCAGGCTCACCCCATGGTGCAACGCCTCAACTCCCAGTATCAGAGTCACCGCCTGAACCACTGCATCGATCCTGGAGCTAAATTCATCAGTGACGGGCGCATTTTCGTCGGACTGTTTTTGTCTTACCCCTGGCATACAGGCGTCTCGAATGATGAAACTTAACCAAATGACCGCAATCTCAAATAGGCATCACGGAGAACAGAAGATTGCGACACGGACCGTCGCACAAGAAACGCGGACGGTGTCTTCGAGCATCCTGCGACATCTCTCCATCTCAGTTTCGCTTTGAGCGCTCCGCCACTCTTTGCAATTATAAAAACTCAGTAAACGCATCTTGTATCCCAGCATTGATCTGGTATCATGTCCCTTCTCCATGTCCTGGTTCTGGCATCCATCGCTCTGGCAGCGCCCCTTCTCTCTATCCACCCCCGAGGCAAACCCTCTATTGACCCCAGGTCATTCGCCGCGGACTCGTCCATAAATGTCGCCGCTATCTATTCCGCCGTGAAAGGCGCAACGAAGTCCCCTATTGACAGGACGTATGCTACGAGTTCGGACGAGCAGCACCACGTGCAGATATACCAAGATTGGCACCAACTCAAGCAGGTTCAAGCGTATCATTTCTTAGCGGACATGGACATCGATTGCGACGGCGTTGATGTTCGTCCCGATTTTGTGCTAGATGCCTCTTAGTTACTCACCCGTGGTTTATCTAGTTCGCCTGTGCGGCAAGTCACACTGAGTGTGCATCCACATTCTACCATCTGATGCTAACGTGAACAGGGAGATACTCACGGTGATGCGCAGACCGACTTCGGAGCCCTCAATGCAACGGCGGTTCCCTGGTACGTGCTGCCCGAACAGTTTGTCTACAAGAAGGGAGTCAGTGTCAAAAACAACGCCCTTGGAGCCATTATCTGCGATGGCAAGATGTTCTACGCCATCTTTGGTGACTCAAAGTACGTTTGAATGGACGGATACAACCCTGATAAGTTACTCACCGAGTTTGCCCTCTAAAGTGGGGCGAATCCTCAAGTTATTGGCGAAGGCTCCCTTTTGCTCGGTCAAGCGTGCTTCCCCAAGGACAAGATCACTGGCAATAACGGTCATGTCCAACGGGACGTAGCATGTCAGTCGCCACCGTTTACTCTTGAGTGTACATACAAGCTGACAGAATCGCCGCGAAGATATTGTTTTTGCGAATCAAGCCCCGAAGGATGTTCAAAGAACTACGCTCAACATCGGAGAGTTGAAAACTCTGGGCGACCAGCAAGTCCGGTTGCTTGTGAAAGATCTGAAACTTTGAACACAGCACATCGTAGTTCCTATAGGACCGATGCCGTATGACGAGTAGCTCGTAGAGGATTCATAATCAGGGCGGGTTTGTCGCGTTCATCTCGGTGGAATGCTAGTTACCCTCAGCAGCGCTATTGTCGGACTGCGTGCACGCTTCGGATTTGCGGGAATGGATCGTTGGTGCCGTGGTGAGCGTTGGAAAAAAAAAGTTCATTATCAGAATATGGCCCAGGCTCGAGTCGAACGAGCGCTCTTGCGCAGATACATTTGTCAAAGCACACGTGAAGCAGGCGGGAATCCGTCCACCACCAGGCCTTTCCTGCGCACCTACGAGCTTGATTAGGATGGCGATTTACAGATGCGAAACAAAATACCTTTGGCCCGAGTCCCAGGTACAACCAGGCGTTCGCTCCAGGCTGGAGTTTCTCTGCCTGAATGCGAACCCCGGTCCATTGATACATTTGGTAACAACCATCCCTTCAGAAGAAGCAAAGGCATTGTTAGCGCGCTTGGGAAAAGTGCTAAAAAAGGACAGACGTGATTGGAACATGACCCGGCTCGAGTCGAGCGAGCAGCTCCTGCATGATATGATCTCGTAGACTTGGACGCTACATGAAGCAGTGGCGGACTGTTCGCTACCAGGCCTTGTCTGCGTACCTGCGAGCTTGATTAGGACAGTATTTTCAGTGATCGACGAACATACTGAATACCTGGTGGCTCATGCTCCATTGATGTTGGTTGATTCGGAAGGAGTTCTTCTTTTCATTTGATAGCCGATACGATAAGGAAGGAAAACCGTATTCTTTCCCGCCCGGCGAACATCCCTACATACAAATCTTTGCAGTCCACGGAAGTGAATCAGGTGCGGACCCCCTGCTACCGGGCCTTTGGGGTGTATCTGGAAGGCATGTCAGGTAAGGCTTGCATCGTTAGGATAGATTGGCGAAGAACATGGATGGAGGATTGAAATCTGAGAGACGACTTGAGGAAAACAAAACAAATTTATATTTGGTTCGAAAGCAAAGTTGCGAAATGCGATATGCGAAGTGTGAAATGCGGGATGTATACAGACGATCGTGCTAATGCGATGGTGCTACAGATGTGTATTGATTGTGTGTTCGTCGACTCGGTCGTGAGATGCGTTGGGACATATCGTGTCGTGTCGGACGTACGGGCGTGCGGATCATGCAAAGATGCTACAAATGGGTGTCGCGGGCGATATAGAGGGACTTGGAAAAGGAGGAAAAATGCAGGAGAGGATTGGGTGGCCGGCGGGATAGAAAGACATTGAGGACGTAATTGGAATGGAATCGAGGCTAGCTCGAACTTGAGGAAAGATGCGACACGGAAAAGATGTGTACACTGAGCGGGGAAGGGGGCATCCGCCGCTTCGCGTAAAAGGTAGCAGCGCTTGCGCGCCCGCCCTCGTGCCGGCGGAGGAGTAGGGTCGCGACGAGCGCTGGCATACTGAGCGTCGTGGTACCGCTGGTTATGCTGCCACGCGAGCCGGAGCGCGCGCGGGAGATGATGAATCGGAGAGGGGATGGTGTGGCCATGGGGGTAGGTGAAACAATGACGCTGCAGCTGCCGGAGAAGAGCTCGTCGGGGTTGTTGCCCGAGAAGAGCACGGACGGTGCAGGAGAGGGCGGGGCGATGCCAATTGTCGGGGACGTTGGGCGCACGCGGCGGCCGTGTAGCGCTAGAAGAGCGCCCAGGCGCGCAACGAGGAGCGCGTCCTGTTCATCTAGGTCGAACAGTGCGGAAACCGCGCGTGTAGCGACGTGTTGCGCGATGCTACGCTCGACAAGGGCAGCGAGGCGCAGATCTGCCGCAGAGGGAACAGAGCGGGAAGTGCTCATGCCAGGATTGGTATGATTGGATATTCGCCGTGTGGGCGTAGGTGGCGGCTGCACGCGTCGTGGCGTCTGAACATGCGATGTGCGTGCTCGCGGACGACGCCAAGGCTCGGGAGCCGGGCTTTCGTTACAGGAGCCCAACCCTACATCGTCGCTGGGGAACGGGACGCATGACGGCGCGGACAACGGCATTTCGCTGGCAATTGATAGCGCCGGGCGAGCAGTGACGCTAGCCAGTGAAAGGGTACATGTCGGAGGGGATTTACGGAGAGAGGGAGCGCTGTAGGTGCGTAAATGAGCGTGGTGTTTCGTGGGTGTGCACGACGTGCGGTTGGACGAGTCGTTAAAGGGAATCTTTGCTTTGTTGAAAAGCTGTGGGTGCGGGAAGCTGGTCATATCTGCTGGAGGTTGGTACAAGGAGAGTAAAGAAGAGGGGGGAGGATGAGGTGATGGCCACAGCGACGAGGAGGAAGTGGGTCCAAGCAGAGCAGGGTTAAGAGTCAAAGGGATGCGTGAATTGATCGAACATCACGATCAGGTGACTGTTGATGATGGCCTGTCCGCTTAGCGCGCGCCGCGTGTTTTCTCACGCAGAGCCCCTTGTGCTCCTTCTAGCGAATGGCCGACCCTGAATGTTTACACGTTGAATTTTGTGACCATCATCGTACGCGACCTGGACTTTTCAGCGATTAAACCAAAGTTGAACTTCTGTTCAGCTTCAAGAACGCGGGCTCGGGTCTAACCATGCATGTTCAATGTTTGATCTACACGCGAAGCATATCGGTACGCCGACGCCGACTAACCGTGTAGAATGCACACATCACAAGCGAGTACTCGGATCCGGTTCGGCGCGTTCAAGGTTAACGTTAAAATAAACTCTGGGGCATGATTTCACTCCAACTTTACCGCGCTGTTGTTGGGAATGGTCAGTGCATGAGCTCAAATTGCCAGAAAAATGAGTACTATATTCCAAGTCCAGTCGAACAAAAGGACGATAGATCTATGGATTATGACCTGACCCGGAATCGAACGGGTGTCGTGCTTGTCCAGACTTTTGCATTGTGAATTTTCTGCGGACCCGCCCAGCGCTACAGATCTTCCCTCTTCATCTCCGTATCCCGCATTCACTCTCACATCTTCGATCCGCGACACCCCAACTCACCAAAGAAGTTACTGCAATCTCATTACAATTATGAGTCCTCCCGGCTGGGAATAGCGCGGGCTTTCCGCAGAGCGCACCTTACTGAGTTACTCTGACGAGAACGGTTTCCCCTTAGACTTTCTATTGCTTGATTTGCTGCAACGCTCCCGTCCCATGGGAACAAAGAAAAATAACGAAATACAACGCCAGTGACCGCCCCAACGGGTGTTCCGCATGCCATGTTGTCCAAATTCATAATGAGTAGCGAACACGCCCAGCGCCACAGGTCTCCCCGCTTCGTATTATATCCTTCTACTCATTCTATATTTCCTGACTTAAATGTACAGAAATAAAATAAAAACGAAGTAGATAACGATGATGACCAGTCCCTGAATCGAACAGGTGTTCCGCTTCAAAATTCCCCAATCCATACGGAGAGCGGAGGCGCCCATCGCCACAGGTCTTCCTACACCTCTGTATATTATCGATGCCATCTACTGACTCGGCACTTTCAGCACCAGTTCAAAGCTGAGAGTCAAAAATCCGATGCAACCGATGCCTATGACCTGACCCCGAATCGAACGGGTGTTCCGCGTGTAATGCCTGACCGTCAACAATGCCGCGTGCGGAGTTGGTCTCTTTTGCCTCTAGGCGCCACCAGAACTGTTCATATCACCCACTAGATTGCCGCAGCAGAGTGGGAAAAAGCCGCATGGAAAGACCTTGTGCGCCATGCGGCTTTTGCGCATCCTATCTAATGACCCGATCCTGAATCGAACAAGTGTTCCGCTTGTTAAAGATATGTACCTCCATGAAATCGATAGCGGACGCGCCCACGCTACGGGTCTTCCTGTCTTACCTGCCTGTATTCTTTTCCATGGGTTATCTTTGTTTTTCAACTCACTCTTGAGATGGGAACAAAAAATCTAGACTCGGCGATTTGAAAATATCTGCTACATCAGGATATCCATGCTGCTCGTAATACGGTACTACCACCCGAGATTCATGGACCGACAGCAGCGCCCCCCGAACGAGTCACATCGATGTTGCGCGGAGGATCCCTTTCGGGAAACCGAAGCGGCGGAGCCTCCACCAATCCTTTGTCGGGTATCCTAAGTGGACGTCCCTGGACGTAATCCAACACGGCTCGCATACGGAAGGTGTCCCTGCTCAACGAAGCTTCCGTATGGAAGGTGTCCGGGGTAGTGCAAGACGGATATCCAGCGGCAGCTGCCAGCGTGCAAGTGCCGGAAAGGAGGATGTGTTCGGGGGAAAGGAAAGACGGTAGCGAAAAACATCTTTCGGGTGTTTGACCTCAGGCTCTCGAGGAGAAGGAGGTTTATGTTCCAGAAGTGAGTTGGGACCAGGGACTGGTCCAGGAAACACGTAATGGCGGACCTCAATCATACAGTCATATTTCTCCCGGGTTCCCTGTCACAAATATTGTGACGGATCGAAAAATCATATTTGGGTGGTTAGGATGAGTGACTGGCACCGCCGAGGCTGAAGCCGAGAAACGGAATACCCTCGATATCGGTCGGGGTTCCCGAATCCAGGTTGCTGACTGGGCGCCAGAGGTTACCGAAGGACGAGATGGAATAGAGATGAAGATTTAGCGTCATCCGGGAGGATTCCGGTGCATACGCAAGGATAAAATGCCCCGGAAATAATGCACAGCACTTGAATAACTGGTGGGGTGGAGTTTAGAATGCATGGATGATATTGCTGGTGATTCATTCTCGTACCTCGGAGTCGAAAATGATACACTCGGCAGTACACCAGTTAATCAGGATGGTTACATGGTAGCGCGGCCCTGCAGGATGGCGTCGCAGATGAAATAGTCCCCGATAAGCTGCGTCCATTCACAGGTCGCGGTACGCAGGTGCGAGAGTATTTCCGAGTCCCCGGTGATTAGATCCACTTCCAGGATGAGGATGTGGTGGTCACGCGGGCTGCGTTAAAAAAATTAGGACGAAATCACTGCAGGACATTCGATGAACGCGTGGAAGGCAGTAAGCGACGAAGACTACCATCTTGGATTTATCTGCAGGAAAATCGAAGACCGCAGGGCCAACAGAGTAATCTGGGTGTCCCCATTTCCACAGCCGTCGTTCCCTCTGGACCTCCCTATTTTCTAAACCACCCGTTATCCCCTGAGATCCAGAGAGATAAAAGAGTATATATCTGCCCCCTGCAGGATTTCAGGCTGTCGCGAGAGCATATTGCTATCGAGAGGAATACTGAACTGCCGATGAAGCGTTGGCTGAGCTGGCAAGGATGGGGACCACGTTCTTGGGCCAGCTACGACCCGGCCAACT